ATCTATACAAAGTGGTCCTCTAGGGTCAAGGATGTAGGACTACAGACACTTTTCTCACAGAAGATCTTTCATTCTGCTCTAAAGGGGAGCCTTTGAATCATCATCCCTTTCCCCCATCGCCGGCTTAACCTGACCCTCCCACTGGTAAAGAACCTGGGAATTCTTGACAACACCAGCACTGGGAGAGCTCAGGAGATCCTCAGCTGTATCATTAGTGCTGTCTAGACGTCTTAGCAGCCCAGCTCCCTGGGGCTCTCCCCGGGACTCGGCATCAGAACGATGCCGCTATTTCATCTTTTCTCAGCCCCCCAACTGATTGCTTGGGGAATTGGGAGCTAAACCCTGTTTACATGACTCCAGCATCGCCATTCTCCTACCACGGCTCTCTTCGGGTTATGAATCACTTCTGGGGTCTAGCGTTTGAATAATTCAGATCTTAAAATATTGATTTTTATTCTTCACAGCCGGGAGACAGCTTTACACATGCCCTGGGCTTGAGTGGGCATCATGTGGCTCCGACGCTCGAAACTTGCAAAGACTTGGAAGAGCCTTGTGTGTGCAGAAGACAGGCACAGACAGACAGGGGTGCTGATCCAAATGGTTCTCATGGCATCCTACAGCTTTATGTCAGACCTGGGAATTAGAGGTAGGGGAAAAGAGGCATGCACAAACATCACCCCAACAAGCAAGGTTACAAAGCGCAGGCAGCTCTCATTGAATCTCCTTTCATCCAGGAATCTCTGTCTGTGGCCTTGTTGTTACCCAAGAGATGCCTGAAGGCCATGCTCCTCTCTCAGTACTTCGGATGCTTCTGATTTCTATTCTCATGAGTTACATCAGCTCTGGAGAGAATTCCTAGGTTCTCATTTGTTTGAAGACATGAAGCTACCCAGAGAACTTGGACCCGGGACTCTCAGGTGGCCCTTTTCCTTCCTACCCACTTCCTGTGTCCCTCTGCTCCTCAGGATCTCTCAGCCCAATGCTGTTCCTTAAGCTTCTGACCCACATGTCCATCTTGCTTGTAGATCTCTAAGTCTCGATGTCCCCCAGGCTCCTCCAGCAGAATTCACTAACTCCCAACCTATTTCTTTTCTTTTCTTTCTTTTTTGGATTTTTGAGACAGAGTTTCTCTGTGTAGCCCTGGCTGACTGGAACTCTCTCTGTACACCAGGACTGGCCTCAAACTCAGAGATCTGCTTGCCCCTGTCTCCCAGATGCTGGCATTAGAGGCGTGAACCATCACCACTGGGCTCCCAATCTATTTCTTATCTATCTCCCTTGGATAATGACATCTCCAGCCACCCACATCCGAAGCTGGCGAGTCAGTGTAGTGTGACACACTGTCCAGTGACTTTTAAGTCATTCTCTCCTCCGTTTACTTTTTAAGTATGTTCCAAATAGTCTCCTAATGGAGCTGTCCTTCACAATTCTTGTTCCTCCAGCTCGTTTCCTACATGGCTACGAAAGTCATTATTAGAGTTTAGATCTGGAGTGTTCTGCAAAGGCCATATATTGGAGGCTTAGTTCCCAGCTTGGCATTGTTGGAAAGTGAGAGAACCTTTAGGAGGAGGGGCCTAATGGGAGGTTTCAGGTCATTGGGAATGAGCCCCCCCTCAAATGGTAATGGGACCCTCGTCTCTCCTTTTTTTTTTTTTTTTTTTTTTGAGATGAAATTTCTCTGTGTAGCCCTGGCTGTCCTGGAACTCGCTCTGTAGCCCAGGCTGGCCTCGAACTCATGGAAATCCACCTGGCTCTGCCTCCCGAGTGCTGGGATTAAAGGCATGCGCCACCACTGTCCAGCCCCTCCCTTTTTCTTTTTTCTTCTCTGCCACACACTGGCACCGTCATATACTACCTTACCACGTGCTCAGAATCATGGGGCCAATGAATGATAGACCGGAACCTCTAAAACTTTAAGCCCAGTAAAACTGTTTCTCTCGGGTTTCGGTTATAATGAAAAGCTGACTAACACAATAATCTTCTAAAGGAGAAATCCAATAATTTGGAGATTTTATAATTTTTTTCGATGGATCCCTCATCCTTAAAGTCTAATTCTTTAGCAGCCATGTAAAGCCCTTTCTGGCCTTGCTCTGTCTACACCCTAGCCCCCATTCCACTTCCTCCACTCCCCAGATATCACACAGTCGAAATCAAGGACCCTTGTGGGTAACACAGTTCTCAGGTTCTCAAGTCCCCATATTAAATAGGGTCACATTGCATATAACATACATACATTCTTCCTTATTTATTTACTTATTTTCCAATGTCTGGCTCTATTACCTAATTTGGCTTTGAGTTCTGAGCCCAAGTGACCCTCTTGCCTCAGCTTCCCAAGTACTTAGGACTACAGGGATGTTCTGTTACACCCCGCTCTGTGGTAAGCCCTGTCTAATTTCCTTATAATACCTATTACACGGTGCTAGGCAAATAATTGTTCTGTTGAACTGAAAGAAAAAAGCCTGTGCGTGTTCAGTTGCAGGTCAAGTTTTCTTCCTGATTATTTTGAAAGAGCAGCTGTTGGCGCTTGTGGATACAGAGCCTGCAGACAGGACTATGCCCCTGCACTGCTGAGTTCCCACACCTCTGGGCTTTGCCACATTGCCCTCTCTGCCCAGAATATCCTTACCTGTGCTACACCCTCTCTCCTCCTCCAGGAGGTTTCCCTGATCTCCTCGTCCTTCAGGATACTCAGAGCACACTGTCACTTGTAAAGTCTCTGCCATCCTACACAGGATCAACTGGATCTTGTTTGTCTTGCTGTGATGTCTGGCAGGGCACCTGACGCAGCATGGGTGCTTAAGTGTGTGCCGAAGGCATTTGACAGAGCGGTGAGGCTCCGGGGAACGTTCAGATGGCTTTCTCCCAATGCTGGCTCCCTCACTTCTATTTTCTCAGGGGTTGCTATTCGTAAAGCTTAGGGAAAGACGGGTTTTGATGTTGTTTAGTTGGTTGGTTGGTTTTTCTTTCTTTCTTTTTTTTTTTTAAAGATTTATTTATTTATTTATTTATTTATTTATTTATTTATTTATTTATTTATTTATTTATTTATTTATTATGTATACAGCATGTAGGCCTACAGGCCAGAAGAGGGCATCAGATCTGATTACAGATGGTTGTGAGCCACCATGTGGTTCTGGGAATTGAACTCAGGACCTCTGGAAGAGCAGCCAGTGCTCTTAACCACTGAGCCATCACTCCAGCCGGTTGGTTGGTTTTTCGAGGCAGGGTTTCTCTGTATAGCATCCCTGGCTGTCCTGGAACTCACTCTGTAGATCAGGCTGGCCTTGAACTTGCAGAGATCCACCTGCCTCTGCCTCCCAAGTGCTGGGATTAAATGTGTGCACCACCACCGCCCGGTGGGAAAGAATAGTTTTAAACCACGAAGTGAGGGTGTAATTCAAGCAGGGCACGTTCTTAGTCCTCTGTTCAATATCTAGGACCCGAAGGGGAAAGGAAAGAAAAAAAAACAAAACAAAACAACTTTATACCAATAAAAGCAATTCTCTTTTCTCTTTCTTTCTTTCTTTCTTTCTTTCTTTCTTTCTTTCTTTCTTTCTTTCTTTCTTTCTTTCTTTCTTTCTTCCTTCCTTCCTTCCTTCCTTCCTTCCTTCCTTCCTTTCTTTTTTTTTTTTTTTACAAAATTACTTTATTTTTAAAGTGATGTATGGGGTGTTGGTAGGAGGCTATGTGCACATGAGTGCTGCTGCCTTGAGAGGCCAGAGGTGCCAGGTCCCTCTGGAGCTGGAGTTACAGGCAGTTGTGTGTGCTAGGAACCAAACTCAGGTCGCCTGGAAGAGCAGTGTGCCCTCTTAGCCACCGAGTCCTGTCTCCAGCCCATCTCCTCTGATGTGCCAGGGGAGATGTTCATCCATTGACTCACTCAACCATCCATGAATCATGGCGACTGTAAAATACCTCCCTGAGGTCAGGGCCTGTGTTAAACATTAGGGCAACACAGATGAGAAAGGGTTAAGTATCCAGGGGCAGAGACAAGTGGACATGTCCCGACAAGATGGGGTGCCAGGAGCTGCAGTGGAGAAGAGCTGAGGAGGAAGGCTGGGTGAGGACCTCCCCTTTTCCTCCGGCCCCCAGTCTCTCATTACTCCTGGATTATAATTAGCTTTGACGCCCACTATTGTGAGACTTCCTCAAGCACAGAGACTGACATTTGCCCTTGCGTCCATTCAGCATTATTTATTAAATGCCTAGTGTATGCAAAGCCCTTTTAGGCTCTATGGGAGCTGCAAATAATATTATTGACTCAACATGAGTCTTTGTGAGGTACACAACGTGGTTAATACAAGGTTTGGAACGTGGTGGGATAGGGAAGCATTTTTTTTTTTCATTTTTAAAATTTATGTGTGTGTGTGTGTGTGTGTGTGTGTGTGTGTGTGTGTGTGTGTGTGTGCATGCATGTGCGTATGCATGCAGGAGCATGCTTTTGGAATCCAGAGGTCAGCAATCCAGATGCACTGTCCACATTGTTTCTTGAGACAGGTTTCTGACAGGCCTGGAACTCATCAGTTAAACTAAGCTCATTGGGCAATGAGCGCCAGCCGTACCTTCTCCAGTCTCCACCTCCCAATGCTAGGATTACAAAAATGTGTGTCCAGCTTTTCCCTCCCTCCTCTCCTCCCTCTGTTCCTCTGTTCCTCCCTGTCCTTCTTAACACAGGTTCTAGGGGTTGAACTCAGGTCCTCATTCTTCCAAGGCAAGCACTCTACTCCCTTAGGGGAGCGCTTAAATGACTAAAAAGTAGACTTAGAGGAAGTACTGTCTTCAAATGTCTGGAGAGCAGCCATGGGAAGAGAAACATTTATTCAAGGCTACTTCAAGGGCAGAGCTAAGACCAATGCAGAGCTGTAAGAACCGGACAGGGAAAGTGCTAGAGAGAGGCGGGCAGCTGCCTCTCCACCTAACTGGCTGCTGGCAGTCACAGAACCCCCCACCCCCACTCTCCCCCCCACCTCCCCACTCCCCCACTGCCCGCAAGACCATGAAAATGATGAGGACTCTTATGAAATATTGACGTAACTGAGTATGCAGGAAGGCACCACTGGTGGAATCCAGTTTTGGCCAGAGTTCTAGACCGTGGTAGAAAAATACTCATCATCTCCGGATAGTAATGGGTGTCCCGGCCAGCTGATGTGCAGGACCTGAATTCCTGAAGCCTGAAAACCAGTGGTAAATGTAGTAGGTGGTGGCTTTCTTCTCTTACGGGCTGCCAGTCACTGGCTGTGTGCAGACCAACTTGAAGGGTGCTGGAAAAGATGTAAACAAAGCAAACGGACAGATTAAGGAAGGAGGAAATAAAGCCACATCTGCATTAGCAATCTAAGTGACCAAGCGGCAGATTTTATCCAGCAGAACATGGTGATATCCACCTGCTTTACGGGTGGCTTTTGCCGGGCCTTGCGTCTTGAGGCCTGAAGGCTCTACCGTGGTGGATCCAACTGTGAGAAGAGAAGGGGTGGCGGGAGGGCAGCTTCTCCGGAGCACATGCCACCAGAGTCTGCGGAGTCGGGGACAACCAGCCAGACAATAGCAGATGGGAGAGCCTAGCGTTTTTACCACCTGGAGCTCGGCAAGCTCGCATTCGCCGCAGGACATCCTGTGTGGTATGGGAACAATCGTATTCTTGAGCAAATCATGGCTTTTGCCCTTAAAAATTTTATATCTGTTTAGAAGCTACACACCAATAATATCTCCACTGGGATATAGATATGAAGAGGAAGAAAAGCCATTGTACACACTGCCCAGTGAGATATCACCCTGCTTTTATTTAAATGGTTCTGTGTTCTTTACCATAGAGTGCCAATAATTTTTAAAACTGTCTGTTAGCTTCAACGTTAGGATTGAAACTTAAAAGATGTGTTTGTAATAAACTGGAGAATTGCAGCCCTCTATTGTGAAATGCTTCAGAGAGAACAGAATTACTAAGGTACTAACCTAGTCTCACGTACCCATCTTTAGGTTCCCCATCCTGACTCTTATTTTGCTTATACATCTTTACATTAAAGGCTCTTATAAGGACATCAGTGTGCCTAGTGTGATTTTTTCCTTCTCTAATATCTACAGTTTTAAAATATCTTCTTGTATATTAGCTTTTAATGTTTTGGTCTTGTTTTGTTTGATTTACTGATCCAGATGGCCTATGCATAACTAATTATTGTGGGAGTATACATTAGTTTGGAGGCACTGGTACATTTTATTAACTTCAAATGCCTCATATTTTTTAATTTCTAAACATTCCAATTGTTATTTTGGCCTCTTCTTTGCCAAAGGCACAAATTACTTTAAAATACTTAAGCATATAATATTAATTTACCGTCTAAAGAACTGGGATTTTTCTGTGTAATCATAAGATTATAGCTTAAATATAACCGTCTCCTTGACTGAAGGTGTGGTCCAAGCACTCAGGCGTTGGTAACATTGTGTTGATTGCACACTAGGCCTGTTTGCTCCCTGGCTTCACACTGGCTCAGAGCCTCTCTTGTTCATGAGGAGCTTTGACACTGTGACTCCTGCCTGTGGAGTTCCAGTCAGCACCAGCAAACACAGAGCAGTGTTGATTGGAGTCCTCAGGCAGGAGAGACTGCAGCCATTCAGACAGGCTGCCCCGTGGTGCAGTGTGTGTATTATGAATGTGGCATTTCATAGTTTCCGTGTTAGTTACAAGCTGTGTGCTTTTACCGTCATGAAGTTCCTTAAAGCTGAACGTGGGACTAATCTCTAATTTCTTCTTTTGCTCTCATTAGTGCCTCAGATATGATGCTAAATACGATTCAGGGTTTCTTAATATGGGGGTGGGGGTGGAACTGCTCTGGGAAAATGAGGGAAAGTTTTCCATTAGTGAAAGCTGTTCCAGGTTATGAAACAGTAAAAATAAATAACACAAAAGCCTGCAGGAGGAATTTCTAAGTGGGTCCAAACCAAATGACCTTCAGGTCCTCTCTAAATCTGGAATTTTATCTATGAAAACACTGAAGTTTGTCAAAAATCTTCAACCATCAACATAAGTGGCGAACTGGCCGCTGATTATGGAAATTTTCTCCAAAAATGGAAACAAATAAATACATTTCTTGTGACAATTTCATAATGATTTCGCCCTGAACATTTGATGGTGTGGGGACTTCTCTGTCTGCTTGGCACCTGAATTGAAGCTCTTGGCCAAGCCTGGCTCTCAGGAGGAATTCCAGGGGCAAGAGGACACATTAGTGTTCATAAAAGAAAAAAAAATGCAAAACCATCTGACCTGAATTGTAAATACATTCAATGAACTATTATTTATTTAGCTGCTAAATGAATTAAGTAGATTTTTATACACGTACATGTATATGATATTAAGTGAAAAAGGAAAAATTTGAGAATACTATTTACAGTATGACTACTTTTGCGTACTTAAAAAGACTACGTGTAAATCTGTAAATGCATATTTTTCCTAAATGGGATTTTTATTATTTTTTTTTTTTTGGTTTTTCGAGACAGGGTTTCTCTGCGTAGCTTTGCGCCTTTCCTGGAGCTCACTTGGTAGCCCAGGCTGGCCTCGAACTCACAGAGATCCGCCTGCCTCTGCCTCCCGAGTGCTGGGATTAAAGGCGTGCGCCGCCACCACCGCCCGGCCAAGGGATTTTTATTTTTTATATCTTTTAAAATCACAATATAATTACATCATTTCCCTCTTCCCTTTCCTCCTTCCTGATCCTCTCACATAACCCTCCTTGAAATTTTTCAAATTCATGGTCTCTTTTCTTTATTAATTGTTGTTACATATTTATACATATATATTTATACGTATTTATATGTTCCTAAATAGAGAGCTATAATCCGCTCCCTCTGTAAACTGTTACTTACGTATGTTTTCAGGGCTGACCAGTTGGTGCCTCTTCCCTGGGGAAGTCTCTATCTCTCCGACACTCAGCTTTCCTTAGTTGCCTGTAGTTCTCTGTGTGGGGCTGAGACCTCGTCCACTTTCTCCCATCCACCTTAGCATGGTGTTATCCTTGTTCAGGTCATGTCTGGGCAGCCATGTTGGTGAGATTTTACGGGTGTGGCCTCTGACCTTCCTAGGAGACACAGTGTCACTTGAAGAAGCTCTTTACTTTGGTGAGTTCTTACCACAGAAAGAGGAGATGGGAGAGGGTGGCTTTCCATTTTCTTTTGGCGTGTTTTCATGTCGATGCTGTTCTCTATGTGCCTGCTCCCCTATCTGTTTGCTGACGGGTCTTACCTGGATCATGGGATTAAAAGCCAAGTTTTTATTTTCTATTTAAAAATAGTTTTTATTCCCCCAAAGGCTAGAGGAAAGGGCATGAGGGCTGCCCTAGGTGCCACCAAGACAGATTTTATAGCTCCATTTTCCAGGCATACAGAAGTACAGACAAAGAAGCGGAGGATTGGGAGAAAAGGGCTTCTTGCTTAAGACTGATTACTCAAGAAGAAGTCTGAGCCGGAGCAGTGGCCAGATCTCCCGGGTCCTGTCATGACCTCCAGTTATACCAATGAGAGAGGAGGGGAAAGGTCGCGGGGAAGGGGGTCAAGCCTTGCAGAGACATGTCCATTTGCTAGCTGACTGGTGGACTTGCGAAGCTTTAAACAAGGTCCACCTGTACTCAGTGCTTTTCCTGACCCCGGGGATAAGACACCATGCAAAGGAGGGAAGGTTAATTTGGATCACAGTTTCCCAGACATCAGTCCTTCACAGAGAGAGGAACACTTTACACCATGGCGGCTAGCAAACCGGGAATATAGGATTCCGGAGGCGGTCCGGGCAGGACACAGCCCCAAAGGACACCCCCACCAGTGACCTACCTTCTTTAGCTAGTACTGCCTCCTAAGGGTCCGAGCACCTTTCTAAGCCAGCACTACTAACTGGGCACCACACTCCCAACACGAGAGCCTCTTGAGGAGACACTTCATAGCCGAACTAGAATACCATCTCGCCTTGAGAGCTCCAGGATTAATCCTAAAGCTACCAAGGACATTTTCTTTCCTGACCCCAAAGGAAAACACAATAAAACGTGCTATCCAAACAGACCTCCTTTACCATATATCCTGGGATTCCTATGTATTCTATTGATTGGAGAGGTACTTGTGGAATTCAGTGCTGGAGATAACTGAGAAAGGGTCAGGGTCAAATAGGACTAAGGACCTAGTGTTGATCCTTAAACAGTTTAAGGTTTAAAGCAGTATGTCTGGCCAGATTGACATCCTGGTTCCTCCCTCCAGCTCTCCTCTGTTTCTCTGGATTTTAATCTGCGTTCCACACTTTGGACTGTAATCTGACCTTGAATAGGGGTCAGAGCAGCGTGGTCGGTTTGGGGCTTGCAACAGGCATTGTGAGAAATGGAACCCAAGAGTACTTGGCAAGTCTTGTTACACCACGGTGTCTCTGCAACTACTGTATCATAGAGGATCAGTTCAGAAGTAGAGGAGACACCTCCCTCGTTCTCCATCGGTAGAGGGGTCTTACTAGACCAGCGAGGCTGCCTGTCATCCGATGCCACCCACTATTTGCAGCCCTCTCTTTAAGGTGGGCAAGGTCTATGACTGCTCTGCATTGGCTGTGTCTCCTCTCCGTCGAAATGACTTTGATCCAAGGGGTACTGGAGGTGATGGATCTCAGTGAACGCGGTGACTCTGGTGGGAATCCAAGGTGGGAGTAGTCTTAGGGAGGAGAATGAGAAGCTCCCTTCCCTGGAGGAAAGCCACCCGCCAGCAGAGGCATGAACCTTTGTGGGGGTGCCGAGCTTTTCACCCACTGAGCATCGGAGGTGGATGTCATTTCCTTCACAGGTAAGAGCAAGAAGTGGTGTGTGGCAGGGCCCTGTGATTCTTGGGTGACTCAGCCTGTGACCTTTCGGGAGGAATCTCAGAGAGAGAAGGTGGGGAGTCTGAACTTGCTCTCTCGGAGCTCGAGAGGCAGCTGTGGCCAATGCTTCTTCACAATTCAGATGAAGAAGGTTCAGTTAATCCTACCTCTTGGCTCGAGGATATAGGCATCATCGGTCCCTGCAAAAACACCTTTTGAAGATGTATTTACTTCCTTATTCCTGTTTCTCTCCATTCTTAAATTCCATTTTCTTGTCCAAGCCACAGTAATTCTTAGGTGTGTAGTATGCCTCCTTTTATTTGCATGCTTTGTTGCAAAAGTGATTTCTTTGCAGTACTAATTTATGTCTATGTTCTATCTCATTGTTTCCCACTTTCCCCTTGTTTATTTTTTTCCATAATTGCTCCTAAAATCCATTTATGCTGCTATACAGACCTCAGTTCCACTGTGTAGTAAGTATTCCCTGGAATTCCTGAGTAATAATGTAGTGGGTACCACATTTAATACTCAGTCTTAGTGATGGGAGCTAAGATGGCCTTTAACTCTTACCACAGGTAACTGCAGATGTCTCCAGAGGAACTGAATGAGACTTTGGGGGGTTGTATCCTATAGAGAACTTTCTGTATTTTCTACTGAACTTGATTCACCAGGTCGGAGTGCTCCCCAAGGTGACTCACCAGGCCAGAGTGCTCCTCAGGATTCTTGCCAGTACAGACTTCTCTCAAGTCCTCCCTCTCTCCAGCAATATACAAGAACAGTCACATCTCACATCTGCCACACTTGGCATCATGCTTCTTTCCATATTTTATCCATAAAAAAGGCATGCAGTAGCATCTCCTTGTTGTCTCAATCTGCATTTTTCATGTGGCTCGTGAATCTCCCTTCACATCTGCTGTGGTGGAGGTGGAGTGTTCTGTTCAGGTTCCTGCTTGGAAATTAGATACTCAGTTTCCAGCGGCCCAGGGTGTGGAAAGCACGTAAGATCCAGATCCTTTACGGGGATTGCCTTTGGCCAAAGGAAGCTACTTCACCCTAGTTCGTGACCCATTCATGGGGGTAGCATCCATCCAGTGACTAGTCATGCAGGGGTATGAAGTCTCAAGTCCTTGGCCCAAGTCCAGGATGTCTCTGACGGGACTAGCCAGTAGCAGCAATACCCCCATGGCATTAGTAGAGGCCTGGGCTCTAAAGGATCATAGTTTAAAACTCTGACACTGCTCAGTCTTCTTCTGTTTCTCTCACTTGGTCACCGCTACCCATAAGGCCACCTCCAGACCACACAGCTCTGCATCCCTGGGCCTGAAACCCAGGGAAATGACATGTGGCAACCTGCCAGCTTTGGAGAACGTTATTCATGTAGCATCTGTTTCTTTGCTCTTTCCTATCACTGCCGGGAGTCTTTCAGATTCTTCACTTCAGATCCTCATTCCTTTAGATGTTACAAATATAGGGGTCTGGGGGATGGCCCAGCAGGTAAAAGCGCTTGATACCCAAGCCTGGTGACCTGAGTTCCATCCTGAGGACCCATTTAAAGGTGGAGGGAGGGAAAACTCCTAAGGGTTGTCCTTTGGCCTCTTGTGTGGGAGGCATCCCTCACCCCCACATTTTCCCAGGGTACTCTTGAGTAGGAGCAGCAGGAAATATTAGTTAGAAGGATAGAACGGGGAGAAACAGATAAAAATACAGGATAGTCTCAGGAGGGCCTGGATCCTAATCCATCTGCCCAACTGTCTCTGTCCTAGGGTATTTAAAGGAGAGCCAAGGGGTGGAGCAGAAGACCTCCCCCCAGCACAGCCAAGTGCAGACATCTCAGACACCTGCACTCAGGCCTGTGGTCCAGTCATCCTCTCCATGCAGACCTGCGGGGTAAAGCCACCAGGAAACCCGAATGGGCTCCAACAAACTCTCCCAGCACACACATGCCCACACTCACACACACCCACGTCATGCACATATAAACACGTATCATGCATACAAATGGTAAGTTCTTAGAAGATATTATAAATATCTATACCTATTCTGCCACCAATCTGTTAGCTTACCAGTGATGCATTTTTTAAAATTAGACATTTCCTAATTTTGATGTAGTCAAATTGTTAAACTTTTGCTTGGTGGTTTTTGCTTTTAAAGTTTTGTCTTAACAGAGTTTCTTAGATCACACAGATGGCTTCCTGCACTCCGATGTGCTGATTTTACATCTACTATTTTTCTTTAATATTTTATATTTATTTCGAGCCATGAGTGCCCTCTTTTGTATACAGTATCAAGTTGAGTCTAGTTTTAGTTTTAATTTTTATCACGTATGTTTTTCTCTTGTTTGTTTGTTTGTTTGTTTTAGACAGGGCCTCAAGTAACTTAGGCTGGCCTCTAACTTTATCTACCAGATGCTGGAATCACAAACACACGCCACCATATGTGCCTGGTTCATGTGACGCTGGTGACCAAACCCAGGGCTTCATGCATGCTTGCAGGCACTGTACCAACCAAACTATAGCACCAAGCCGCAGTGTTGTGTTTCTCCTATGGTGAGCTAGTTTCCTAAACACCACTTGACAACCCTCCCCCCACTGATCCGTGACACCACTTCCATCCTAAAAGTTCAGACGTATGCGTGGTTCTGCATTCCAACTCTCTGCTCTGCTCCACTGATCTATCTGTATGTTGTTTCGATCACTTGTCAATATCATAAGGCTTTAATATGTCTTAATATCAGAGAGGGTAAGAGCCTCCCTTCATTCTCCTTTGGTAAGCCACTTAGCTGTGGTTCTCTATGTCCAATCTAAGCATCTTTCCTGTCCTATTGCTCCCTAATTTTTAGAGTCAATTCAGCTCAAGTGGGTTGGACTCTTTATTCTGACTTTGTTTGGGCCAAAAACACTTGGCTGGACTGGCACAGAGGGACTGCCAGCCCACATACCTGAATGGTGATTTGCATTATTGGCAGTGCACAGCACACGCATACATACACACACACACACACACACACACACACACACACACACACACCACACGGGGAGGAGGGGAGGAACTTTTGTAAGAACTCAAACCAAGAGATAGTATCTAGCTTGCATTGGCCACTCCAAAGCGCTGACTATTCTCGGCGAAGTAGATCCAATCAGATCTCAGAGAAACTGTCAAAGGCACACGGATTTTAATGAGCCTGGGAACCTAATCAGAGGCAGTAATGAACGGCATTAACAGTATACTCCCACCAGTGAGGACACCCTGTCCGGATCTGTGGTGACTTGGCCCTTGCTTCTGAGGAGGGCAAAGGCCTGTCAAAGGTTAGCTCGTGGCCACCCAGCACCTTTGTGGCTTCTGCAGCTTCCACCCATCTGTTCCTCCCCAACTGAGCTTGAAGACCTGTCGCAGTTACATTCTTGTGTTAATTAGGAGGCTGTGAGCAGGCCCCAGTTAGTCATCCGGTGTGAAGATGGCAGGCGCTCCAGCTCTGGGGGTGTGGACGGGTTGAGACACGTCAGAGCTGGAACACGGAACACGGAGTGACTCACCCCGAAACCTTGAACACCAAGGTCAAGGAGAGGGCGAGGACTTTCCAGACGCTGTCTGCTTTGTGACAGGGATGAGACTTCTGCTAACTACGGCTTTCTCTTCGCTGAAGACCAAAAGGCCAAGGGATGAACTCTGGTTCCTTGTGAGCAGCCCTTCTGGCCTTGACCTGGTTTGGCCAGCCCTCTTCTGGGTGCCTGCCTCTGCCGGATCCCTCCCTGCTCTATTTGTATATGTGTGTGTTTATTTATTTTATTATCTATCTATCTATCTATCTATCTATCTATCTATCTATCTATCTATCTATCTTACTATTAGGATTTAAACCCGGGGCTTTGTGCGTGCTAAACCGGTGACCTACCATAAACTATTCCTATAACCCCTTCCATAATTTTGAGAGTAAGCTCAGCTCAAGTGATTTGATCTGCCCTCTTTGTTCAAGCCAGAAGTCCCAGCTCAACTGGGAGTAGCGGCGGCGGAGGGGGGGGGCGGGGGGGACGCTGTACCCCTCTCCCATGCTGCTGTCCCCATTGGGCTCAGAGCCCGTGTCTTTTCCCAAGGCTCTTACTTCCAAATCCTGAGTCCTTAAGAGCAGACATCTTCAAGTGACTGGTTGTGGTGCCGTTTTTCTGAGGGGGTTCTACAGTCTACACAATGCCGGCCGCTGGCTCCACGTGTTTACCTCAGCGGAAAAGAGAGGTGATTACTTGGTCCTGTGGTCTGTCTGGCCCGAGCCTGTCCCCAACCTGCACTCATGCTCGGGTACCAGGAAGTCCATTGTCACCTGTTCCCTCGCAGAAAGGGTTTTTAGACTGTTCTGCGTTCACCCTGTTGCTGTGATAAGACACTCTGACCGAAAACAACTCGAGGAGGAGGAGAGGGTTTATGTGGCTTACATTTCCAGGTTGCAATCCATCAGTGAAGGAAGTCTGGGCAGGCACTCAAGGCAGGAACTTGAAACCACGGAGGAGTGCTGCTTTCTGGCTCACTCCCACGTCTATGCTCTGCAGGTTTTCTTACAGAGCCCAGACCCACCTGCCTAGGGATGGCGCAACTCACAGTAGTCTAGGCTATCCTGTGTCAGTCACCGATCAAGACGATGCCCTACCAGTTTGCCCTCTCCAGGCGACTCTAGCTTGTGTCAAGATGACAGCTGAAGCTAGGGAGGTGTGCTGGGCTAGTTTTGTGTCAACTTGCTACAAGCTAGGGTCATTGGAGAGGAGGGAGCCTCAGTGGAGAAAATGCCTCCTCCGTAAGTGTAGACAAGCTTGTAGGGCAGTTTTCAAATTAGTGTTTGATGGGGGAGGGCCCATCCCGTGGTGGGTGGTTCTGGGTTCTCTAAGAAAGCAGGCTGAGCAAGCCATGAGGAGCAAGCCAGTAAGCAGCACCCCTCCATGGCTTCTGCATCAGCTCCTGCCTCCAGGTTCCTGCCCTGGTTGAGTGCCTGTCCTGACTTCCTTCTATATGATTATGAGCAGCGTGGAAGCATAAGCCAAATAAGCCCTTCCTCCCCAGTTGCTTTTGGTCATCGTGTTTCATCACAGCTGTGACAACCCTGACTAAGTCGGTAGGCAGGACACATACTGGCTGGAGCCCAAGAGGACCTGGAAAGGACCTTTGTGTGGTCAACAGAGCAGGACGCCAAAAGGCCAGACTACAATGCACTTACTTCCTTGTCTCTCTGCACCTGACAACAACTTCAAATGAGGCCCCAACATCTCTTCATTCCTCCTTTTTCTTTTGCTCAGGGAATGTGTTGGGAACTTAACTATCCTTCCATTCCTCCAGCTTCTTTTTAAATGTAACAACCCGCATCTGGAGTGTGGGCAGGCTGCGCTGGAGACTAGCCACTGGGTCTTATCCAAAGGTGAGCATGGCCAAAGAGTCTATAGGGGACTTCCAGGGACTTCACTCTGAGACACCTAGAAGGACTCTATCAAGTGTTATCCTTCCTGGAGTGGGAGGAGGTGAGCAAGAGCTAGGTGGCTGCTCTTTTCAGAATCAGCGAGGCAAGGAAGCAGGCTATGTTACATTTGAAGAGTATGAGGGCTGGCGTGATGGCGCAATGCATAGAGTGCTTGTTACACCAGCCTGAGGGCCCGAGTTCAGAACCCCAGCACCCACACGTAAAGACAAGCACAGTGGTGTGTGCCTGTAACCCCAGCACTGTGGGGATGGATGGAGACACACAGATCCCTAGAGCTCACCGGCCTCTTGTCCAGCCAATTGTTTAGACTCAGATTCAGTGAGAAACCCTGTTTCAAATGTGGAGCACTATAGTGGAAAACACCTGACATCAACGTCTCGCCTCTACATGCACATACATGCTCAGGCATACAAGCCCCACACAAACATGCAGCTACATAGACACTTGGACACATATGCAAGTACTATACTCCAAAAAAAAAAAAAAAAAAAAAAAGGTGAGGTAAACCAAACAAGATGCTAATTGTCTAGGAAGCCTAGAGACTCAGGACATGGATAAGAAAATATTCTCGAAAGGCGATACCTCAGTGGTGGGGACCGCGTTGCTGGCTAGTCCGGTGCTCCCTTGGAAAATCAGACCCATCCTTTCTGTATTTCCACCTATTCCCCCATCAATTTCAGACACCCAGGGAGAAAAGAGGGTTACAGTCTCAGCCCTGGGGCAGGATGCTGGGCTTGTTGGGAGAGTCAGTCACACCATCTGCCAGCCAGATGCTGAGCACAGCTGGAAGAATGGCGAGGAATCTGTTGAGGCTGTTGAGGATTCTAGAATTCCCCCACCTCTTAAACTCTCTGGGTGTTTACATATCTAAGTAGAGGACCAGAGAATCCACAGGCCCCATTCTCAAACTATTCCATCCTTCAAGCAGGCTTCCGCCAGGGAAATTCTCTATCACTTTTTACACATCACAGGCTTCTGGTCAGTCCTTATGGCCAAGAGATTTCTTGGTGTAGGCTTCGGATTTAGCCTGCCAACCATGCAGGAGACCCCCAAAACTTAAGCTGCACCAAGCTGCCTCCTAAAATGTTGCAAGTGAGTGAAGAAAGGTAGAAAAAGCAGAAACGGGTCTGCAAAGCTAGATAGCAAGGTCTTCTCTCTGGGCCATTGTCTCTGCCCCCTGTGCCACCACAGTTTCCAAGGGCTTCTGAGTCACTCGGTCTAGCTATTGGCAGCTTGGTAGGTCCAACAAACTAGGAGCGAGAGCTTGCCCAGGAATGATATGTCAGAACTATTCTCTGCGGTGCCTTCTTGAGTGTGGAGGTCTGTGGGTAAGGAGAAGTTGGAGTTGAAAGGTTCTTAGACTCCCATGGGATCCATGACCAACAGGTATATTAGTCTTTTCATGACTATACTTTAAATACCCAAGTCTGTATACTTATGAAGAAAAGAGATTTGTCTGGCCAAAGTCTAAGTAGCATAGCACCCTTCTGCAAGGGCCCTCTTGGCCACTTCACGTCACAGCAGATGGCACCTGTCCTAGCTTGCTTTCCATTGTGAGGAAACAATGACCAGGCCAACCTGGTGGAGGAAAGGGTTTATTTGGCTTACATTTCTATGTCACAGCCCATTACTGAGGGAAGTCAGGACAGGAACCCGAAGGAAGACACACAGAGAAACACTGCTCGCTGGCTTGCTCAGCTTCTCTTTTTAATAAAACCCTGGGCTGCCTGTGAAGGGGCAAAGGGGAAAAAAAAAAAAACCACATCCACACTACAGAAACAGGAAAAGGTACTTGGGACAAGGAGTCACAACAGGCCTGCACATGGTCAACTATCCAGAAAAGGATGCTCACCCTGGCTAAAAAAGAAAGAAATGTCAAACTAGAATTAGAGGATTGTTTTTTTTGTTTTGTTTTGTTTTGTTTTTTTTTTTTTAACTATTTTAGGGGGCCTGCCTCCTAGCTCCGAAATAAATCACACAAGAGGCTTATTCTTACTTATAAATGCTTGGCCATTGCTTGGCTTGTTTCTTGCCAGCTTTTCTTAAATTATCTCATCTACCTTTTGCCTCTGGGCTTTTTCCTTTTCTTATGTCTGTACATTTTACATTCACTCTTACTCTGTGGCTGGCTGTGTGGCTGGGTGGCTGGCTCCTAGCTTCCTCCTGTCCTTGTTCTCTTGTTCTTTTTTTCTTTTTTCTTCTTCTCTGCCCAGATTTCTCCTTCTATATATTCTCTCTGCCTTCCAACCCCGCCTATCCTTTCTCCTGCCTCACTATTGATTGGCTGTTCAGCTCTTTATTAGACCATCAGGTGTTTTAGACAGGCAAAGTAACACAGCTTCGCAGAGTTAAACAAATGCCACATAAAGAATGCAACACATCTTTGCATCATTAAACAAATGTCCCACAGCATAAACAAATGTAACACATCTTAAAATAATATGGGCTCTGCTACTCATTTGCTGAATATGACTCCACCTTGGATGACCCTGAATTTTCAATCCAGGACAGCCCACAACGTGCCCTAGACAGGTGACCATTGTGAACAAGCCTCATTCGGCCAGTTTCCCTTGGAGCTTTTGTCTTAGGAGGCGTCCGGTTCTGTTTCTTGGTTCCATCTTGCAGATCAGCTCCTTTGATATATTTTCTGTATTCCTGACTATTTTACCTTTCCCAATTTGACAGGCTAAAGTGACTATAAATGACAAAAGTCAATGGTAGCTCCACTCTGTGCTGGGCACATAAGGGCACATCTAAATGGGTTGGAAGCCCTGTGCACTGACTGCATCTCTCTGTAGAGTAACCTTGCAGTAGAAAGAGCAGAGACCTAGGTGTGATCCAATCTCTCTGTTTAGGGGCACACAGTCCTGAATACATAAGTCCCCAGGGACAAGAGAGCTACTGATTGAAATATTGGGGTTATTAGTTCTGCTAAGTTAGAAATCATACAAATATCCAACTGGAAACAAACTGTGACATTCACAGTAGAGCTACAGAATCCTAATTTAAACAGAGAAACATGAAGACTGTCGATACAAGAAAACATGAATATGAAATAATGTTTTAGAAAGATGGATTAAAAAAGAAGCTAAAAAATACTTATTCATGTTATGACAGGAAAACTTGACAAGCCTCAGAAGAGAGTGACCAGAAAGGTAGAAATGTCATCAGCCATATCAGCCATGGGGTTTCCTCGGGTGACGTCCAGATGTTCATAAGAAGCATGTTTACGAAGTAAGGTGAAAAGTGGGGGACAGAGGACTCTTCCCGAGTTTGTTACTGTGCTGACTTGGGTGACAGCCTGGTTTCCTTTGCCCTTTTGAATTTCTTCCTGTGGGGAGTGGGGTCGGGGTGAGGGATGTTCTCAGCCTAAGGAGAATGCCAGGGGAGCCTCTCTGAGATCGCTCTCCTCGGTGACACCACTCTCCACAGCTGCTGCCCAGGTGCCTCCAAAACAAACAAACAAACAAAAAAAAACCTCATTATCTTTCACTTCCTCTAAACTATTTTTTTAAACACCCAAAGTGTCCAGGCTTTTGGAAAGTAGCAGCAGACAGCTGCGGCTGGGCAGCTGAGACGGCTCCATGGTAATTCATTTTCACCGTCAGCTAGACTGGATTAAGAAACACCTAGTCGGGGGAGGGCTAGTGAGTAAAACATTTGCCATCCTGAAGACTGGAGTTCCCACCCCCAGGACCTACATAAGCCTGGGGGTGTCGTGGTCCACAGGCAATCCCAGCTTTCTGGAGACAGGGGACCCCTGGAACAAGCTGGCTGGCCAGGCTGGCTGAAATGGTGGAGAGGTTCTGTCTCGATAATATATAAGTTACTGAGGAAGATGCCCAATTTCAACCCGGGGCCTCCACATGCATGTACATCCATGTGCACCCACACACACACGAACACACGTGCATGCACACCTCATGCATATACATGAGGTATGAAGACACACCTGAGGATCAGTGAGGTACACCTTCTAATGGAATTGTGAGGGCTTTTCCAAAAGGGATGAACTGGGGGGAGGGGAGGGGTCCACTTTGAATGTAGGAGGCATCATTTCATGAGCTTGGGGTCCAGGCTGTAAAAGAAAAAAAGAAGAGAGAAAAAAATTGACATTCAGAGTTATTTCTCTCTGCTTCCTAATCTGCCCCTCCCCCACAGCTGTAAGCCACTCCGGCTACCATTTCTTCCTCACCGTGATGGACTACACTTCTAGTGAGCCAGAAAAAACCCTTCCACACCACAGGTTGCTTCTTGTCAGGGATTTGGGGACAGCAATGTGGAAAGTCTAACACCGGCACCCCACTAGCAGTCAGGATCGTCATTTTAGCCATAACTGCATGGCCACCTTGCTCAGCAGCCTGAGACCACTTGCAGACCCTGGGTAACTCCAGGCTTCAGTTTCCACATCTGTCAAGTGCTGACACTCAACCCATTGATCTCTAAAGGCCCTTACGGACATTCCAGCATTATTGTGGCTCCGTGTTTAGCCATCCGAGACTAAGAGCCCCAAATAGAATTCCCATCACTCTGAGGCTGAGAATCCGTTCAGCCATCCAGAGCTCAGGAGGCCAGGGCAGCCCTGTAAGCAGACTTCAAGCTTGGGGTCCCACTAAGGGCTCATTGGAGTGGAAACAAAAACAAATAAACAAACAAAACCATTATGCGTAGTTTGGGCCATCATCACCAGACAATTGTTTCTTGAAAAGGCAAAGAACCTGGAAGTTCTAGCAAGAAACACGCTGACTTTAAGAGACTCCTGAGGGTCCTGACCTTGAGCAGCCGCGGGACGGGGCCCTGAACAGCTCAGGGACAAATAGGACATGCCCTGAGAAGACGCCGCTGTCAGAACAGCTTGTCTCCATTTCAACTCCATGGGAGTTGCCTCCAGAAGCCTCAGCCAACTGGAGAAAGAGCTTTGATGTAAGTCAGAAATTCTCCAGGCTCGTGTGACCGAGGAGAGAAAATAGAGATCCTGTAAGAGGAGGTGTCTGGCTTTGGGGGACAGAGGGAGTCGGCCCTTCCTGCCACCTCAGCCTCTGAATCTGATGAGCATATCTCTTTCCGTGCAGAGACACATGGCGGAAGAAGGATGGACTACGGGTGGAGAGAAGGGGAAACGTTTGTCATTTGGGGCAGAGGGAATGATGGCCGCTTGGCTGCTCCAGGACCACCACACCCAAGTTCAGTGATAGGTGGAACCCTTCCCACTAAGAATAAATGAATAGAGACACCGGGGTTTGGGGTGGGGTGGGGGTTGGCAGGGGAGTCCTCTCTACCTCCACGGTCTACAGAAAGGGTGATCATAACATCTTTTCTGGGGAACCATCCGCACTGGGTTTCTCTGAGCGACAAATCACCCAGAACTGTACAGGCTCGAAACAATTGTCCCTTCTTTTGGACACCAGGCTGTGGGCTGGCTGGGCAGCTCTTTCAGTCTAGGCCGGTTTGGCTGAGCTCTTCTGGGCTCTGGTGCATCTGTGGTCAGCTGGCACGGCCAGCCCTATTCTCATGCCTGGCAGCTCACAGGCCAACTGGGCCACGCGCCTCTCAGGCCTCGCGCCTCTCAGGCCTTGCTAGGCCAAGTTTGTTTGTGAAGCCCAGATTTCCATAGGGAAGGTTTCGGAGTCCTTTGGAGGTTAGGCTTGAAGCCTGTGTCTGCCCCTTTTAAATATTTTAAAGACGTTTATTTTATGGGCATGAAGGTTTGTGTGCAAGTATATATGTGCACCACATGCATGCCGGTGCCCGTGGAGGCCAGAAGAAGAGTCCACCAGATCCCCTGGGACGGGAGTTATGGATGACTGTGAGCCATCGTGTGGGTGCTGGGAGCTTATTGCAAGAGGAACTAGCACTTTTGACTGCTGACCCTCTCTCCAGCCCCTGCCTTGTTACTTCTGCACTGTGCCCCACAAAGCCAGGCAAAAGCCACCTGGGGGGGTCAGTTGTCCCTGCTGGCCTGGAATTGAGGGGTTTCCTAAAATGTCAGAGTTTCACTATGAAAATGGGGAAGCTGGGCAGTATAATGGCCGTCCCAGACCCAAGAGGTGGAGAACTTGGCTAGACATCCCTCCAAAAACATACAAGGGGGGAGCAAACGTGTGAAAAGGTGAGTACCGTCCGTAATCGTTAGGGAAATGTAACTCAAAGCCACAAGGGGATGCTCTTTTGTACCTACTAGGATAGTTATTTTCAAAAACAAAAGATTAAAAACAAGCAAAACCCTGTAACAAACATAAAATAATAAATGGCAGTGGAGATATAGAAAAGGAGAAGGCTTGTGCTTTAGCTGTGGGAACGTCACATGGTACAGCCACTGTGAAAAATGACCCGACAATCCCTTAAACAGAAATGCTGTCTGAACCCGAAGTCCCAGTGCTGGGTAGATGCTTGAAAGAATTAAGATCAGGGGCCCAAACAGATGTTGGCACACCCCCTGACTGTGCGTTAGCCGTCATCTCCATAACTGCAAGATGATGGAGGTAACCCAAGTGTCAGTCGGCAGATGCCTGGATACACAAAGCGTGCGTGACAGAGTATCGATCATTCCGCCTCTAAGAAGAGGGCAATTCTGACACGTGCTGCGATGCGGGTCAGCCTTAAGAAGGCTGTGCTAAGTCAACGAAGCTGGCTACAGAAAGACAAGAGCCGGAGGATTCTGCTTACACCAGCACCAAGGACTCACTTCCCTGGAGCTGGAAAGCATGGTGGTTGTTGCCGAAGGCTGAGGAGAGGAGCAAGACAAAGCCACTGTGTGATATGAACAGTGTCAGTTTTGCAAGGAGAAAAGGCTCTGGACATGAACAGAGTTGATGGTGGCACAGCACTGTCAATGAATGTAATGCCACAGAAACACACACTTCAAAGCCACTACAGTGGTAAAAACGTGTGTTACACGTATCTTACTACAGTTTCTTTAAGAGAAGCCGGAAGCAGGGGCCCCCTTTCTTCACAAAAGGAATGGAAACTGCTGTGGCTATTTTTCCCCCATTGGCCACAGGAATGAAGAGCTTAACTAAATGGGACCGAGCTGTTGAAAGAGTTCATAATATTTGAGGAAATGCTCTGGGAGACAGCACACAGAGTCCAAATATTGACCAAATTAGACACTTTTTTTTTTCCCTTCAGGAGCCAGTAGTAGCTTATGATTATTCACTCAAGTGGGAAAAAAAAAGTACAATTCAAGAAGGCCCATGTCACTGGATGAATGGGATGTTGAGGCTGGCTAGTAAGCCTTAGTACTGTCTGGAAAAATAAAAGCAAACAATAATAGCTCAGAGTCCTAAAAGAACCACTAAGACTTTTGAAAGCATCTGTGCCACTGTTTCTAGCTCCCTTTTCCACCCTGGCAAAGAGCTGGGCAACAGGTGAAAAACTTCCTCATCCTTTCATGGGGCTCCGTGTTTAGAGGAAGTCTCGTGGCAGGAGGAACAGGCTGGAGGATGGTGTCAGAGGTGTGGGTGGCCAGGCCTGGCAGGCAAGGAGTCACTAGAGGAAGCCAAGGGTATATGACTATTAGCAACTGCCAGACTTCTGGAATACTGCCCTGGAAGGAACATATGTCCCACACAGAGTGCATGTCCCGTGGCAGGGAGAAGAGACCCTCAGAGGCCCTGGAACTAGAGTTACAGATGGTCGTAAGCCACAGTGTGAGGGCTGGGAACAGAACCCTGGTCCTCTGGAAGAGCGGTCAGTGCTTCTAACTGCTGAGACATCTCTCCAGCTGTCCTCTTATGAGCTACTTCATTGAGAGGCTCTAAGGTATCTCCTACCCGATTTTCTTTTGGTGATAGGCAATTAATGCTTCGATCTCACATCTAACACCTATTCTGGGTTTGTTCCTGACACAGCTGTCTCAGGCAGGCTGAAGTGCCAGGGCACTGACTAGGGCTGCATGCCATAACCTCATCCTTTTCAGTGGAGACGAAAACTTGGAAGAACCCCAATGAGGAAGCATCTGGCAAATCAATTTATTGCTCCAACTGCCTTTTCCAGCTGGGAAGACTTCCATAACGGGGAAGGATCAGCCCTTAGCACTCAGCACCGTCCAGGATTCATTGTGGCACTCTAGGAATCCCAAGACATAAATCTATACACACCGATCAAGGATCTGCTTGAACCAGGAGACCAGTGGACGAGACAGGGCTCAAGGGGACTGATTCTGTGTTGTCCGACACCCAAGTCTCAGAGGTCGGAACCAGAGTGAACAGTAAAAATGTAGGTTTGATTCCACCACCCCATCCCTGCCCTATGAAGAGCAGTGATGAAAAAATGGTCCAAGGCTGCCTCCAGGAGACACATCAGACCAAGAGGGAAGGGACGAGATAAGGTAGAGGAAGGAATGCTGGGGAGATGGGTCAGCAATTAAGAGCCGTGGACGTTCTTCCAGAGGACCCGGATGCAATTTCTAGCATCTACATGGTGTCTCACAATCGTCCATCACTCTACGCCCAGGGAATCCAGAGCTTTCTTTTTCGGTCCTTAGATACTTCACACGCTGGGTGCCCGGACATACATGTGGGCAAAGCACCCACCACCCCATTTCAGACCCAACCATGTTTGTCTCAAAGTATTTTCCAAAACTCTGACGTAGGCAGGCTGGCCATATAACTCTGTGGCAGGGAGGAAGCAAACAGTTAAGGGTTTAATTTAAACCATTGTGCCCTTGAGGAAAAAAAACAAAACACCCAGAGTGGGCACAAGAAGCCAAGAACTCACCTGTAGAGGGAGAGCCAAGCTGGCTTCCACAAGGAGACTTTCTCAGTCAAGTTCTGACGGTCCTGTTAGACTCCGTTTGAGGATATTACCGTTGCTCTCTGTGGGATGCTGTAAGTACCTGATTTGATGTTTTGCGATGTATCTACTACTCCTACTGAAACGCTACCTTCATTTAATTGTTCTTTTACTTTTGCTTGCTACATGCTTAAAGAGATCACTCATGTGGAGCTGAAAGTATGGCTATTGTAGCTCAGTCTCAACAGCACAGCCTGCGCCGTCAGCAAGATCTACAAAGGTACTGTGTCTTTTCAAAGGAGTGACTGCTATAGAAAGTCAAAGGGGAAATAAGTCTCAAAAGGT